TTTGAGACAAGATCTCCCTTTGTGACCTCAGCTGGCCCTGAATCCCCTATGTAGACCAAGCTGGCCTCAATCTCATAAAGATCCACCTGCCTCTGCCTCCAGAGTGCTGGGATTAAAAGTATGCCCCACCATGTCTGGCTAATAATAATTTATACATATGCACACACATACATGCACATATATTATTTTTGAGACACCTAGTCTCACTGCAGCCCTGGCTAGTCTGGAACTGGCTGTGTAGACTAGGCTGGCCTCAAACTCACAGACATCTCCTGAGTACTGAGATTAAAGGTGATTGCCACCATGCCTGGCTAATGATAATTTGTATATGTCTATATACATATATATGTACATACAAATATATAAATATTAAAAAATTTGAGACATCTGGTGTATATATACACACATGTGTACATTTATTTATTTATTTATTATTTTATTTTGAGACACCCAGTCTTACTATGTAGCTCTGGCTAGCCTGGAACTTGCTATGTAGACCAGGTTGGCCTCGGACTCACAGACATCTCCCGAGTGCTGGGATTAAAAGCATCTGCTGCCGTGCCTGGCTAGCAATAATTTATACATGTCTAAGGCATGTGCCACCACATCTGGCTGATAATAATTTAAACATGTCTCTATACACACATTTATTTATATATTATTTGTTTATGTATTTACGTATTTATTTATTTATTTAGACACCTGGTCCCACTATGCAGCCCTGGCTAGTCTGGAACTTGCTATGTAGACCAGGCTGCCCTCGGACTCACAGACATCTCCCGAGTGCTGGGATTAAAGGCATGTGACGCCATGCCTGGCTAGTAATAATTTATACACGTCTATATACGCACATTTATTTATTTGTTTATTTATTTATTTATTTATTTATTTATGAGATACCCGGTCTATGTAGCCCTGGTTAGCCTGGAACTTGCTGTGTAGATCAGGCTGGCCTCAAACTCACAGACATCTCCTGAGTGCTGGGATTAAAGGCGCGCGCCACCAGGCCCAGCTTTATTAGCTTCTCTTTTAAAGAACAATCTCTTCGAACCGGGTGCAGCATCTCACGAAGCTGCATTTTTCCGACTGCATCTGCAACCCTCCTGCCTCAGCCAGCGTTTACTCAGTTAATGACCGCTAGGGCAGTCTCGCCCCGAATGGTGATTTCATTATCGTCTATCTAAGATGGAGCCTATGGGCTTGAAGCACCCATTGCTCAGACGGGGCGACCGGAAGAGGGTCCTGGGTTTCCGTATATAAGGGGAGCCGCATGCGCTCCCGACACTTCGCAGACGGATCTCGACCGAGGCGCTTGGGAGCCGGAGCTCGCGCGACGCCCCTGGGTTCGAGGCTGCGGGCGAGGAGCGGGGTGAGTCCACCGGGGATGCTGGAGATGCTGCAGACGCGCGGGGTGGAGGCTGCGGGAGGGCCGAGCGCGAGCACCGCTGTGACCCCAGCGCCGGGGAGCTGAGGCAGGAGGATGGCGGCTTCCAGCCAAACGGACACAGCAGCACCGGGAGGCTCGGGCCCCACAAGCCCGCGGAAATAGGGAGTCCGGGGAGTTCCGGACCTCGAGATCCCGGGTTTGAGTGACAGTTCGCTTCCCCCAGGCCCAGCCCCGGGTACCACCTCCTGGGAGACACCATGCGGGGCGTGCACGGGGTTCCCGGGTAGAGACGCGCAAGGAACCGATTCCATTTCTCTTGGCTGTATACCTCGACGTGGGGCTGTGGATCACGTGGTTTATTTTATTTCATTTCATTTTATTTCGTTTCATTTTATATTTATTGCTTTTTGAGACAGGGTCTCCCTGTAGCCCCAGTTCATTTCATTTCATTTCATTTCATTTCATTTCATTTCATTTCATTTCAATTTATTGTTTTTTGAGACAGGGTCTCTCAGTAGCCGCAGTAGATCTGTACGGGCTATGTGGACCAGGCTGTCCTCGGTCTCCCAGAAATCCCCCTGCCTCTGCCCTTCCTGAGGGATTAAAAGCGTGCGCCACCACGCCCCCACCCCAGCGTTATTTTAATTAACGCCAAATTATACAAAGGCCTGGGTGTATACGGTGGGATATTCGAGCGCCTGTCTGTAATCCCAGCCCTCTGGAGGTGGACCTTAGAGGAATTTCTTGTTTTATTTTTCCTGCAAGCATTCTACCAAGTGACCAAAGCCTCAGCCTTGACATTAACGATATTTTCATTGTTTAATTAAAACAACTTTAAGTTTTTAAACTGTTTTTTTTTGGGGGGGGGAGTCTTTTTGAAACAGGGGTCTCCCTGTAGCCTCAGCTGGCTGAAAACTCAGTATGTAGACCAGGCTGGCCTCCATTTCCAAGAGATCTGCCTGCCTCTGCCTCCCAGTGCTGGAATTAAAGGCATGCACTACCACACCCAGCTTTGAACTTTTTTTAAAATTAATTTTATTTTTATTTTGTGTATGAGTGTTTTGCGTGCATGTATTAAGTGCACCACATGCATGCAACCTCCACAGAGGCCAGAAGAGGGTGTTGTATCCCCTGGAGCTGGAGCTGCTGTGCAGCTGACCGGAGTCAAACCCTGGCACTACACCCATGCTGGCCTAGGTTTGAAGTGATCCTCTTGGCTCAGCCTCCCAAGTACTGGGATTGCAGATGTTAGGCATCACACCCCATTTACTAAAAACATATTGAAAGTCTGTACTGGGCGTGGTGGCACACACCTTTAATCCAAGCACTGTGCAGGCATCTGCAGTCAGATGCTGAGTTCCAGGCTAGGCTGGTCTACACAGCAAGTTCTAGGCCAACCAGGGCTACACAGGCCCTGCCTTTAACACCCTCCCCCCTTGCACAAAACAAGCAAAACCCCAAATATGTTTTTTTATAAACCTTTTGTGTATTGTTTTTCTAAATAGCTATTAAGTTTTTAAGCATAATTTAGTCATTTGGACCTAATTTTGTCATATTTTAAATTTTAATTTATTTTTATTTTATGTGTTTGATTGTATTGCCTGCATGTATTTAAATACATCCAGGTCATGCAATGCCCACGGAGGTCAGAAGAGGGCATAAGATCCCCTGATACTGGAGTTACAGACTATTGTTAGCCACCATGTAGGTGCTGGGAATTGAACGCAGGTCCTCTGCTAGTGCTCTTAACCGCTGATCCATCTCTCCAGCCCCTGAAATTATTTTTAAAAGATTTTTGGTGTTTTGGGGGGATTTTTTGGTTTTTTTTCAAACAGGATCTCCCTCTAGCTCCAAACCCCAGGGGTGTTAATAGGAAGCTCCCGTTGGCCTAGAACTCACTATGTAGACCAGGCTGACCTTGATCTCTGAGTTCCTCCTGCCTCTGTCTTCCCCAGTGCTAGGACGAAGGACATGTGCCAGCATGCCCAACTTCATTTATTAAGAACAGATGTCTCTGAAGTAAAAGATTTTAGGAGCCTTATAGAAATACTCTATTCAGTATTAGACAGCATAATAGTGCTCCCATTTCCAGGTGGGGAAACTGATCCCCCCTTAGCACATTTGGAGGTCAATTCAGGGACCACTGATACACCAGAACCTACATGTCCAGGAACAAGGAGTTGAAAGACTAATACAGTAGGGACTGGGGATGTGACTCCTCAGGCCTAGAGTCCCAGGCCTTCCGTTTCCTCCCCAGGATACCATAAACCAGGTGTGGTGGGACATCCTTATAATCTCAGGCCTTTGGAGGTTGAGGTTGGAGGATCAGGAGCTTTGGCTGCTTGGGAAATTTCAGGTCATTGTGGGCTATAGAAGACTGTCTCAAACCAAACAAAAACAGACTAAAACAACTTAATTAGAAATTTTTTTGCCTGGGCGTAGTGGCCCAGGACTCGGGAGGCAGAGGCAAGCAGATCTCTGAGTTCTACATAAGGAGTTCCAGGTCAGCTGGGGCTACAGGGGAAATCCTATCTCAAAAAGACCAAAAAAAAAAAAATTTAGGTACATGAGTGATTTGGCTACATGTCTGTAAAAGCACCAAATGCATGCAAACCAGAGGAGGCTATAGAAAGGAGTCGGATCCCCTGAAATTGGAGTTACTGGTGGTTGTTAGCTGCCATGTGGGTGCTATAGTGCCCCTAAAATGGACTTATTTTTGTTTATCTGACTTTAACTTCTGTTTTTGTTTTGTTTTTGAGAGCCTCCAGCACTGCCTTTCCCATACCTTCAGTATCCTTGAAGGAACAGATTTCTGGTTACCTTTTCAATGTTATTGGTTTTCGTGACAGTCTCCTTGTAACTCCCAGCTGGCCTGTAACTTGCTATGTAGACCAGGCTGGGCTGGATCTCAGCCTCTCAAGTGCTGGGATTAAAGGTGAGAACCACCAGGCTGACCTTTAACTTTTTGAGACAGTGGATAGCACAAACTAGCCTCAAACTTACAGCCATCCTCTCTCAGATGTGAGAGAGAGAGAGAGAGAGAGAGAGAGAGAGAGAGAGAGAGAGAGAGAGAGACCCCCATGTGGCCCTGGTCTCACCTAGACTTGGTACTTCATATGTAGCCCAGGGTGGTTTCAAACTCTTAGCCAGCCTCAGCCTCCTATGAGGGCTGGGATTACAGGCAGGAGACTCCAGACACAGTTAGAATGGATTAATTTCTTAAAGAAAAACTAATTGTGGAGGGTGGGGTTTGCCACAGCCTACCCATGGAGGTCAGAGGACAACTTTGGAGTTTTCTCCTTCAACCACGTAGGTCCGGGAGCTTGAGCTCAGGTTTTCGTGTTTGGTGGTGGGCACTGCTGCTCCTTGAGCCATCTCAATGACATAGAATGGAACAGTTTCTGCTTTACTGCAGTACCAGTGTGTTTGGTGGGAGGGTATGGGGAAAGGGTAGATTTAAAGTGAAACTCATCTGGCTCCTTCTTTTCCCCACAGGCTTCCAAACCAACAGTGAGCTTATTCTAGCAAATATAGTAGGCCTGTATAGGCAGAAATCACTTGAACTTGTCAGAGACCAACAAAGGAACATTCTCCGCTAAGCATGTCTACAAACATGTCACTGGATCAACAAAAGGACTTGGACAGCCTTGGATCAGAGCAGTTGCCATCTCTGTTCCAGGATACCCACTCAGAAAATCAGGATGAGGATCCGGCAACTTGGCACTTGATGTTCAGAGAGTTCATCTCTGAGGAGCACTGTGACCCCATCCAGGATCTGAGGCTAATCTCTACATTGTGCCATCAGTGGCTGAGGCCTGACCTGCACACGAAGGAAGAGATCCTCCAGCAGCTGGTGATGGAGCAGTTTATGATCTCGGTGCCCCAGGAGGTCCAAGTCCTAGTGAAGGAGAGTGGAGTGAAGACCTATAAAGACCTGGAGAGGGTGCTGGGAAACAGAAAGGAACCCAAGAAATGGGTGCGTAAGGCCTCTGGGCCCAGGGAAGGAGCGCGTGAGGTGGGACACTATTCCTGGGGAGACAAAACATTAGAGAAGATGCTGGGGAGGTACCCATCTCTGGAGACTTCCTTACTTCACCACAGGGTACAGTGGGGATCACATGTACCTCTTTCTGTATTTTTTACCCTGGTTGTCAGGCCTTAAGGTGTTCCAAAAGCTCACCACCATTGTATCTGGTTTTACATTTTTTTCTCTAGGGACTCCAGTTGGATTAACATTTGCCTCTGAGTGACATGGAGAGGTCTCTTGACTTTCTTTTTAATATTTTATTTTATGAGTACGAGTGTATTGATTGCATGTATGTAAGTGCAACTATGTCATGCAATGCCTGCAGAGGTCATAAAAGGGCATCAGATCCCCTAGAACTGGAGTTATGGATGGTTGTTAGCTGTCATGTGGGTGCTGGAAACCAAACCTGGTCCTCTGCAAGAACAGCAAATGCTCTTAACCACTGAGCCCGTATCAACTGACTGAAATTTAACTTCCTTCATTGAATGAATGGCTCACTACTTGGGTTGATTTTTTTTGCCTTCTGGTGAAAAGGGCTGGAAAAAAAATTTTTTTTGCTTGTTTGTTTGAAGCAAGTTTTCATGTAGTTGGTCTTGAATTCACTATGTAGGTGAGGATGGCCTTAAACTCCTGGCCTTCCTGCTTCCAGCTCTGCAATGTAAGCTCACTGCTGGGATTATAGGCTGGCATCCAAAAGTCAAAATGCCTGGGACAGAGAACTAAGGAATACAGTGACCCATAAAAATGTTGCCAAGGGTGGTGGCACACATCTGTAGAGTCAGCACGCAGGAGGCAGAGGCATGTGAATCTCTTAAGTTCAAAAGGACAAGTCTGGGCCTACATAGCAAGGTCAAGGTCAACCAACAGATATGTGAGGCCAGCCTCAAAGTAATATTCCAGGTAGTCAAGGACAGTCTGGCCTACACAGCAAGTTCCAGGTCAACCGAGCTGCATAGTAAAACCCTATCTATACAACAGATATGTGAGGCCAGCCTCAAAGTAATATTTCAGGTAGAAGACTTGCACTGGAATGTATGGGGAACAATGACTCGGGTTTTATCTATTGGGAAGTTTGCTGGGATCAAGGAAGACAGGTTTGCAAGCAATTCATGTTGGAAAATAAGTCAGGACAGTTGGGAGAACTACATCTAGGTTCTTACCCCGATCCTGTCTCTTCCCCCTCCTTCACCCCCCAGTCCATTGTTGTCTTTGAAGGAAAGACATTCCTCCTGCAGGACTCCGAGGCTGAGCTGGTCAAAGCAAAGGCTGATGAGGAGCCATCCCAGGAGGGCCACTCAGCTGAGAGAGAGGAGTCACTGAGCCAAGGCCAAGCTAGCACAGAGCTGCAGAGCCCGTCAGGGATTGAAGAACCATCTTCTTGTGAGGTGTGGCACACGTGTGGCATACACTCTCATAGACACACATATACATAAACAAACAAACAAACAAGGGAGAAAAAGAGGAAACCCACTGAGTGGGATAAAATATTCACCTGCCACATATTTCCAAAGGATTAGTATCCAAAATATTCAAAGAGGTCAAAAAAAAAAAAAAAAAAAAAAAAACACAAAAAAAAAAAAAAAAAAAAAAAAAAAAAAAAAAAAAAACTTTTTAAAAATGAGGGGAACCGGGCATAGTGACATGTGCCTTTAATCCCATCACTTGGGAGGCAGAGGCAGGAAAACTCTTGAGTTCCAGGCCAACTGGGCCTATAGGGAGACCCTGTCACAAAAAGACAAAAAAAAAAAAAATGAAAGTTTCCTGTTACTGGAGATTGGGGATACTGCCACTTTGAATTCCACAGTGTAGTAAGGGAGACCCTCTTCGACATAGAATTATTCAGCCCCCAAAATGCTAGGAGTGCCCAGGTTGCTTCATTTTGCTTGATGAGTCCAGATCAGGGAGGAATTGGAGTAACAGAAACTTGCTTAGAGAATTAAAGATGTAACATCAGAGATGGGTGTGGGACTTGGATTAGTCGTGAGGGGTTATATGTTAACAGTAGATGAGGATGTTTAGGGACTGGAGAGATGGCTCAGTGATTAAGCACACTGGCTGCTCTCTCAGAGTTCCTGGGTTTGGTTCCCAACATCCACATGGCAGAAGGACCTGTCACTCCAGTTGAAGAGGATCCCATGCCCTCTTCTGGCCTCCATGGGCACTGCATGCATGTGGTGCACATTCAGATACACATAAATATCTGTGTAGACATGTCCACAGTTCTTGGTTTTCTCTGTCAGGGAGAGGAAGTTCTTCCAGAGACTATTCCCGAGAAGGAAGACCCAGAGTATCTGAAACCCAAGCAGACTCTGAAAGAGCCGATGGAGGACAGGGACAAGGGAACAGCTCTTAAACCTTGGGAGCTCGAGCTTCCACAGTCTCCTGGTGAGTACAGGTGGGGGACTTAGTGCCTCTAGTTCAGCACTCCCAGCCCTCATGGAACTAGATTGTCCTCCACTTCTCCACCTTCTCCATCACTAGCTTGCCACAGTGTCCTAAGACCACTCAGGTTCTTCAGGCTGATGGGACTTTCCAACCAACAGCAAGAATTTAGTTAAAAAATGAGTTTGGTGGAGTTGGAATGCCCTTTATTAAAAATTTTCTGTTGGGCTGGTGAGATGGCTCAGTAGGTAAAAGTGCTTGCTGTCAAGCCTGACGATTTCTGTTTGGTCTCCAGGACCCACATGATGGAAGGAGAAAATCAAATCTCTATCCTCTGACTTTCACATGGGCTCATTGTCATGTAATGACAATTTTAAATGTTGTATGTGAAATCCTTTCTTCCAACAGGTTCTGTTTGGGAGCAGGGGGAGAAGATGCCCCAGGGGGTACTAAATATGGATGCTGTCACAACTCCCTGTCGTGCTCTGGAAAGAAGAGATTTATCTCAGAATTCAGATCTTCAGAACCTTATAAGCCTCAAAACAGTGAGCTCAGACAACTCCCTGAATTTCCAGGGAGAGCGCGAGTATATGGCTAAGCCAGTCAGCCCTGTAGAGTCAGGTGATCATCCCATGGGCCAAAAAGCTGGGGCCCAGACCCGGTTTGGGTGTATTGTGTGTGGTAAGCGATTTTCTTACAAATCTCAGTTAATAATCCACATGAGGTCACACACAGGAGAGAGACCATTTCAATGTGGTTTCTGCAAGAAGGGGTTTTTACAGTCTTCAGACCTCCGTGTCCACCAGCGCACCCACACTGGAGAGAAGCCATATAAGTGCAAATTCTGTGATAAAGTGTTCGCGCATGAGTCTACCCTGCTGGGTCACAACAGGGTTCACACCAAGGAGAAGCCGTTCAGGTGTGGGGACTGTCACAAACGCTTCAGCCACAAGGGGAATCTCAACGTCCACAGCCGCATCCACACCAACCTGAGACCCTACACCTGCAAGGAATGTGGGTCCACCTTCCGACAGCACGGCACCTTCAAGCGACACCTGAGCATCCACTTAAGGAAGGAGTAAAGGGGTTTTTGTGATTCTGTGCCCAAATCTAAGCCTTTCCCCAAGAAAGACTGATGATGGGTGGCCCCTATTATGAAATCGCAGCACTTGTAGCACACTTAGCATCATGCACTTGTTCCTGATGGGAGTCCATCTTCAGGGTCTGTGGGTAATGGTATCGCATCCCACCTGGCCTTTTCATTTTGATCTCACTGGTTCCCATTGGCTTCTTTGGCCTTATAGTCACTTTGTATCCCAGGCTAGCCTTGAACTTAGGATCCCCATCCCAACCCCTAACACTTCTGCCCCCAGAGTGCTGAGATAGAGATATTGCTTCTTCATGAGGAGCTTTTGTTACATTTTTTTGGTTGATGTTATTACTATTACACTGAACAGGAGTCTTGACATGAGTTGTCAACATTTGTAACTAAAAGGGAGAGGGTGAGGTCTGACCCTGTGAGCCCCATGACTTTGTTGTAAAATGCAGTTATCTTTGTAATAAATTTGATGTTCAAGATCAGCACTTTTATAGTAAGCTGTATTTTTAAAGATTTTATTTTATTTTTTAAAATTTATGAGGGTATTGCTTGCATGTGTAAGTGCACCTGTGTCCTGCAGTGCCTGTAGAGGTCAGAAGAGGGCGCCAAACGCCACGTGGGGGTCAGGATTCCAACCCAGGTCTTCGGCAAGAGCAGCCAGTGCTCTAAACCGCTGAGCTATCGCCAGCTCCTACTTTAATTTTTTTGTTTTGTTTTGTCTTTTTGAGACAGGGTCTCCCTGTAGCCCCAGCTACTCTCAGAGATCCACCTGCCTCTGCCTCCCAGGTGCTGGGATTAAAGGCTTGCACACCCCCAGCCTCTACTTTTATTTTTTAAACTTTAATTTTTTTTAATTTTACTTATTTTTATTCAGTGTGTATGGGTATTTTGCCTGTATATAGGTACACCATATGCATGCAATGCCTGCAGAGGCCAGAAGAGGGCATCAGATCCCCTGGAACTGGAGTTACTGACCTTGGTGTTGGGAATCAATTCCAAGTTCTCTGGAAGAACAGCCAAGTGCTCTTAACTGCTGAGTCATCTCTGCAAATCCCATGTTTTTATTTTTAATTACATGTCTGTGTGTGTCTGTGTGGGAATGTGCACATATGTGCAGGTACTTGCTGAAGCCAGAAAAAGAGCTGGAGTTACCGGAAGTTGTAAGCCACCCAAAATGACTGCTGAGAACTGAACTCAGATCTATTTGTTTGGTTGCTGTCTCTCTAGAGCTCCAGCTATCCTGGAACTCCCTATGGAGACCAGTCTGGCTTGGATCTCACAGATCCTCCTGCCTCTGCTTCCTGAGTGCTGGGATAGCCCAGCTGAGATTTTCTTGAAGAACAGCACAAGCTCTTAACCTCTGAGTGATCATCTCTCCAGCCCCAGTGTTTTTTCTTTAAATTAATTTTCCTTAATATTTCAATGAAAGCTGAGTTTCAGATAGATAAATTATTTAGGATGTATACACACTAAAAATTGATGTTTTTAAAATTTAATTTATTTTGGGCTGGAGAGACGGCTCAGCAATTAGGAGCACTAACTGCTCTTGCAGAGGACCCAGGTTTGAGTCCCAGCACCCACATGGCAGCTAACCATCTGTAACTCCAGTTCCAGGGGATCTGACGCCCTCTTCTGACTTCCACAGGCATTGCACAACATGGGTGCACCTACCTACATGCAAGCATTATACCCATACACATTAAATAAAATATTTAAAAAAATAAAATAAAATTTTATTTCTATTTTTTTGTGTGTATGGGTGCCCAGGCATGCCACGCTACATGTCTAGTTGTCAGAGGACAACTTGTAGGAATTGGTTTCTCAGGTTGTCAGCCTTGGTGAAAGTGCCCTTGCCTGATGAGCCATCTCATTGGCCCTGGTTTTTTGTTTTTGTTTTTGTTTTTTTTTTTTGAGACAGGGCTTTGTAGCCCAGGCTGGCCTCAAACTCTTTATGGAGCTGAGGCCACTGAGCCAGCTTTCCAGTTTTATATGTATCTTTTTTCTTTAATTGTGTGGGAAGAGGTGAATGTGTACGATGCTCTGTGTGGAGGTGGGGGTGGGGGTGTGGTTCAGAGGACAGCATGTGAGAATCAGTTCTCTCCTTCCCACCTTCTACCATGTGGGTCCTGGGTATCAAACTCAGTCCATCAGGCTTGGTCGCAAGCACCTTTACACACACTGAGTTATCTCACCAGCCCTCAAAAAATATATTTAATTTTATACGTGTAGTGCTTGCATTAGTTTACATGCACCATGTGTGTACAGGAGCCCATGAAGGTCAGAAGAAGGCATTGGATACCCTGGAACTGGAGTTACAGATGGTTGTGAGCTGCCATGTGGGAGATGGGAACTGAACCCAGGCCCTCTGCAAGAGCAGCAATGCACCATCTCCAATCCCTCAATTTTTGGGGGGGCGGGGATGGTTGAGGCTAGCCCCAGGTGGTCTGGAACTCATTATGTAGACCAGGCTGGCCTTGAGCTCACAGATCCGACTGCCTTTGCCTTTGGAGTGCTGGGATTAAAGGCATGTGGCACCATGCCCTGCTCCTTCAAAAAATTTTCTGGGAATTTTTATCACACCATCCTCTGAAGAGGTTACCCAGATTGCCAATAGGAAATCAGGATGCAGACCGATCTGGCTTCTTTCATACTGAACAGTGATGCAGGGTGAAGCAACTGGGGTACCCCTTCAGTGGGTCTATCTAAAAGACTCCCAAACTGCATAACTCTTATCTCTAAGGGGAAAAGAAAGTCCTTGACTGGTTAATAGGGATGTGAAGGAGAAGTAAAGGCAAGAGTAGTTAGCATTACAAGCTCTAGACAGGGAACTAGAAAAAAGTCAGAGCAGGGAAAATTTCAAATGTGACTTCAGACATTCCTGAAAACTCATATTTGCTTCAGTGAACTCTAGCACATCACTAGACACAGGGATTTGCAGCTCTGCCAGTTAGGATGGAAGCCTGCATCGGCCGTGGGCCTTTAACTTTAAACTTAAGCAAAGGAAATCATTTTCACACCAGCACATGCAATCTGAATGATTCAGCCTTCAACAGTGGACATTTGCGGGAGGCCTCTCCGCAGCGTGACTCAGTTCCAACCCGCGGAAACTGCCATGAAGTACCTGGATTGGGGAGTGGGGACGTGGATGAGGCAAGCAGCAAGAGAAATGGAGACAAGACAGGGCTTTAAACTTAAGCAAAGGAAATCATTTTCACACCAGCACATGCAATCTGAATGATTCAGCCTTCAACAGTGGACATTTGCGGGAGGCCTCTCCGCAGCGTGACTCAGTTCCAACCCGCGGAAACTGCCATGAAGTACCTGGATTGGGGAGTGGGGACGTGGATGAGGCAAGCAGCAAGAGAAATGGAGACAAGACAGGGCTCTGATCAAGTCTCGTTTATTGCAGCACAAGCATGAGGTTAAATAGAGAGTAAGAACAAAGGATTACAGACTGAGAGTAATCATATCAGCCAGAACACAGGGGCCCTGACGTACTCTAAGGGAGGAATCTACTGATTACTGGAGAACAGGGCTGTTCACTGGAAAAGAGAACAAGGCCGCGGGCCAAGGTTGTGGGCCAAGGCTGTTGGCCCCGGCTGTGAGCCAAGGTTGTGGACTGAATGGAAAGGTCACCAACTCAGGTCTGTCAGCAGTTTTGAGAAATGGCTGAGCCTCAGGCTCCCAACAGACATTTGGTTTGATGTGAGGTTTTTGTTGTTTATAAATTTTTAATTAATCAATTTGTATATATTTAATTAATTTTTTATTTTATGTGTATAAGTGTTATGCCTGCATGTATATACACGCACCAGTGTTGTGCAGTGCCCATGGTGGCCAGAAGAGAGCATTGCATCCCCTGGAGCTGGAGTCACAGACAATTGTGAGCTGCCATGTGGGTGCTGGGTATCAAACCCAGGACTTCTGCAAGAGCAGCCAGTGCTCTTAACTGCTGAGCCATCTCTCCAGCCCCTTTGTTTTATTTTTAGAAACACTTTATTTTCCATCCACCTTCTTTCCATCCTGCTCAGGTGACTGCAGCACAGCTCACGACCACTCAGTTGTTGTTCCAACCCATTTGGTGGCATGAGCAGGGGGGGCTGCAGACCAGTCCTCGGTGGCTGGCTGGGCACTCCAGTCTTCAGGAGGGAACTGCTGGATAGGTACAGAGGGCCCTTGCCTGCCTTCAGACCACTCTGCCACCTCTGGCTGAGCTGTGGTGGACTCAGGAGCTGCTGCGGTCCATTCACCCTGAAATTCCTCCTTGGTCACAGCCTTTTCAGCAGCAGCTTGCTCTTCCTTCTCAATCTCTTCAAGGTCTCTGTAGAAGTAGAGATCAGGCATGACCTCCCACCGGAGCTCACAGGGATGGTACCACGCATGCACAGAACTTCCAGGGCCAGCATCCACCACATCAGACCCACTGAGTGAGCTCCCTTATTGTTGCATGGGATGGTGATGTCTACATGGCGCAGAGGAGAATCTGTGTTACACAGAGCGATGGGAGGCAGGTTGACATAAGACGCTTCTGTGAGGAGTTGGTGGTCAGTCACCACCAGAACACGTGGCTCCCTGAAGGCTGCTTGAATCTGGTTAGTGAAGGTCCCAGGAGTGAAGCGGCCAACAATTGGAGTGGCTCCAGTGGCAGCAGCAAACTTCAGCACAGCTTGCTGGCCAGTGTTCCAGGAGGAGATGACGCTGACACCAGCAGGGTTTTCGATGGTGACAATGACAGGAGCTGCCAGCAGCAGCTTTCCCCAAGTCCTCTTCAGGTTTACGATGTAGATGCCGTCACTTTTCCTCTTGTAGATGGTCCATTTGGAAGTCAAGGTTGGTGCCACCCAAGTGGGTTCCTGCTGCAAGGAATTTGAGGGCATCCTCTTCCTTCATTTGCAGGACATCAAGGGCTCTGGACATTGTTAAGTTTCCCTTTAAGTTTCGTCGGGAATCAAGAACAACGCTGTATGGACCCCTCCCTGGCAG